TTACCGATACGCTTGATCGACGACCTGTCTCAGAATTGGGGAGCATAACGTCCATATATCACCGCCGCCTTTTTCCCCGCGCGCGCGAATGAAATCGTAACGGCTCGTGTTTAATTCAACGATTGCGCCGCCGCTGAAATTCGGGGCTGAGAGATCCCCGATTTCAATTTTTATGAAAACAAATGTTCCACACGCTTTACGACGCGTGTAATTGCCCGATGAATTTAATCCTTTGCGGCAGTTTTTTTGAAAAGCGTGAACTTGGGCCAAAGTGGCGCTTTAATTAACGATATAATGACCTCGGACGATTTTTGCTAACGCAGGAACTGCTGCTAGGCACGCGTTTAATTATTTCTGTAATCGTTTCGACGAGTTCTAAATAGTTCCATTTGATTCGCGATTTAATAACGATGGCAACGATATCTGGCAACGGTGGAAACAGCAACCACTATCGAATTGCCTTTGAATCGTGTCACGTGGCCCCCGAATTGCTTCTGAATTTCCTTCGAATTGCTTCTGAATTTCCTTCGAAATGCTTCCGAATTCTCTCCGAAATGCTTCCGAATTGTCTCCGAAATGCCACCGAATTGTCTCCGAATTGCATCCAAATTGCCTACGAATTGTCTTCGAATTGCCTTCAATTGCCTCCAAATTGCCTCCCAATTGCCATCGAATTACCTTCAAATCGTGTCATGTGGCCTCTGAATTGCTTTCGAATTGCTTTCGAATTGCCCCCGAATTGCCTTCGAATCGTGTCACGTGGGCTCCGAATTGCTTTCAAATTGCCTTCGAGCCGCGTCACGTACATCCGAATGGTCTTCAAATTGCCTCCGAATTGCCTCCGAATTGTCTCAGAATTGCCTCCAAATTATCTTCGAATTGCCTCCGAATTGTCTTCAAATTGCCTCCAAATTGCCTCCGAATTGACTTCGAATTGTCTTTGAATCGTGTCATGTGACCTCCGAATTGCTTCCGAATTGTCTCCGAATTACCTTCGAATCGTGTCACGTGGCCTCCAAATTGTGTTCGATTTGCCTCCGAATAATTACCTTCGAATTGTCTCCGAATTGTCTTCAAATTGCTTCCGAATTGCCTCCGAATTGCCTTTCAATTTGTCAACAACTATAAAAACGAGCCGCAAGGCTCGAATAATCGTATCTCCTCTTCCCAAATTCTCCATTTTCGTGCGCAATCTGTGCGTCAGTAAGGGAGACATTACCGTGCGAAGGCAGATAAATGTCGCGAACTGCCGGTCATCGATAGAACGGCGATAAAGCCGGTCGCCGATCCGATAAAGCGTACGAATCGATGCCCAGATCCGGGCCGATTTATCCGCTGGTTTTCCGTAAGTTAATATTACGTTCAACTGCACGCCGACGGAAAGTAAACCGCGCGGCATGCGCTTTCCTCGGTAAATATTTGCCCGATGAAGTGGCAGTTATCGTGCACAGCTACGCGTCGCGCTAGAATAGCTGGCCACGAATAAAGTGAAATATTTACTTTCGGCCGTCGTACGGAGCGCCAGCCGTTGCTTATCGTAATATCGTTCGCGTTCGAATCGTCTAGACGCGCAATCCGCGAATCGGCCGCCCCGATCTAACGAAATTTATCGGGCGACGTCGGTTTTCGGCGATTTATCGCCGCCGGAACCGCCGAGCGCGACTCGATCGTTCTACATCAACGACAACGTTGGATTTATTTAAGCTTGTCGCGGCAAATATTTCAATGAAACAGGTTCATCTAAAAATTTCTCCCGGAAACATTTTTATCGCACAATGCCCCATTAACTGCGAAACGAAAAGTTCCAAGATTCGATGATACGACAATTTCTTTCGATCATCCTGCGACGTTCGATAAACCGTTCGGAAGAAAAAGAGCTATATTTAAACAGCGTAATTGCTCGCCTCGCCGACCGTAACCGTTTCGATATGTACACTCGACGTTATCGAATCGATACAGCGAGTTTCCGTTCGCGAACGCCCGCGATAAACCTCGAGTTCGTACCGCACGCTCCGGATCAAAGCTGGTTGTTATTATTTCGCGCAGCGTTGTTGATCATTTACGGTAAAATGATAGGTCGCCGGGCATAGCGTCGTTCGCCTAAATGCTGGATAACTCGAATTACACGGTCGATGAACGCGCGAGCACGGCACGATTCCCGTTACAGTAATGTCTCCCTTACTGACGCTCAGATTGTATACAAAAATGAACAATTTGGGAAGAGGAGACACGATTATTCGAGCCTTGGAGCTCGCTTTTATAGTTGTTGACAATTCGAAGGCAATTTGGAAGCAATTCGGAAGCAATTCGAAGACAATTCGGAGCCAATTCGGAGGTCACGTGACACAACTCGAAGGCAATTCGAATATGAATTCGAATACAATTCGGAAGCAATTCGGAGGCCATATGACACAACTCGAAGGCAATTCGAAGGCAATTCGAATACAATTCGGAGGCAATTCGAATACAATTCGGAAGAAATTCGGAGGCCACGTGACACAACTCGAAGGCAATTCGGAGGAAATTCGGAGGCCACGTGACACAACTCGAAGGCAATTCGGAAGCAATTCGGAGACCACATGACACTATTTGAAGGCAATTTGGATACAATTCGGAGGAAATTCGGAGGCCACGTGACACATCTCGAAGGCAATTCGGAAGCAATTCGGAGACCACATGACACTATTTGAAGGCAATTCGATGGCGATTCGGAGGCAATTTGGAGGCAATTGAAAGCATTTTGAAGGCAATTCGGAAGCAATTCGGAGGCCACATGACACGATTTGAAATTTATTAACTATAAAAATAAATAGCGAGGCTCGAATAATCGTATCTCCTCTTCCCAAATTGTCCAATTTTCTGGACAATCTGGGCGTCAATTAGAGAGATATTACTATAATCCGAAATGTCCGCGCGTATCGCGTGCTCGTCGACCAACAAAAAAACTCGAAACCTCGTCGGAACCTTCTTGCTTCTCGCGAGTTGGATTCACTGATATTTCGTCTACCGAACGGAGAGCGTATTTTTCGCGATTGCGACGCGACGGCCGGGGTCAGGACCTATCCGATGACCCAAAATTGGCCGGCGGTGATCCAAAAATGACGCTGAGATTATCCAGAAAAATGGACAATTTGAGGAGAGTAGATACGATTATTCGAACCTTCCGCGGTTCGTTTTTATAGTCTCGAATTGTCAACAATTATAAAAACGAGCTGCATGGCTCGAATAATCGTATCTCCACTTGACAAGTTGTCCGTCTTCGCGGATAATCTGAGCGTCAGTAAGAGAGACATAACTGTAATTGGCAAACGATCGCGCGTCGCAACTGTAGAACCGAGTGGAACTTGTTCCACGGCACGGAAACGTTCCGATTGATTCCGACTTTAGTCGATGGGACCGACGCGGGTGCTGTCCGGCTCGCAATAAACGGAAGCGTTTTCGGTTGAATGTTTTAACGACGCGCGCGGCGGCCGCGCTTGTTACTATTCCGTCGGTATCTCGCGAGCGATAAATCTCGTAGCGTCGGCTCGTGTAAAAAGTAAAAACGGTTTTCACGTTCGGCCGCGGCGCAAACGTTCCCCGTCCGGGACACAAAGGAAGAGGAGAGGGGGGAGAGAGGGGGAGACGGTCCTGCGGCGTCCGGCCTCGCTGGGTAAACGGCTGCCCGGCCGCGGCCGGCCCGTGATTAAAGGGAATGGAATGGAGAAACGGCCACGTAAGTTCCGAGTTCGAAACCGACCGTCATCCTCTGCCGCTCGCTCTCTCTCTCTCTCTCTCTCTCGTGCTAGCTACTAACTCTTTTGATTCCTGGTGCTCGAGTTTCTGCTGGTAATTAAATCCCGAGCTCCATCACTGCCTCGCCTCGCGCGGAACTCCCGAGCTTTGAGCTCGCAAAGTCCGCGAACTATTGAACGCGAACCAATTACCGTAACTAATTAGCCATTCGAGCTTTCCAGCTTTCGAGTTGCCGCTAAACCCCGTTAGTGTTGCCGGGAAGACCGGCGCGGCGGGCCGCGTGAGCTCGCACTCTCTCTCTCTCTCTCTCTCTTGCGCGCGCGCCCGCGCACGCATTCGCATGTCTCCCTCCGTTGCTTGGGCCGTTCATTACCGCCGGAAAAACCATGAATCGCGGCGTAACCTTCGCCGCCGCAAGTCGGGAGACCTTGATCGCCGATAGACACACCTGCGCCGATCGAAATCGCGATCGCGATCGCGCCGAACGCTGCACGCGAGGTCAATTTAAATAGTATGTTGTACTATTAATTGGACCGTGTGTTATACTGTGGATTGAACCGTAATTTATATTGTAATGTGAACCATAAGTTGTACTGTAAATTGACCCGTAAGTTATACTATAAATTGAACCATAAGTTATACTATAAACTGAACTGTAACTTGAACCGTATGTTGATCTATGGAGTTGAACCACAAGTTGAACTATAAGTTGAACTATAAGTTAAATCGTGAGTTGATTTATAAGTTGAACGATAACTTGAATTGTAAGTTGATCAATGAGTTGAACCATAAGTTGAACCGTAAGTTGATCTATGAGTTGAACCACAAGTTGAACTATACTTTCAACCGTGAGTTGATTTATGTGTTGAACGACAACTTGAACTCTAAGTTGAATCGTAAGTTGATTTATGAGTTGAATCACAAGTTGAACTATAAATTGAACTGTTAGTTGAACCGTAAGAATGTTATGAACGAAACTTGAACTGTAAGTTGAATCGTAAGTTGATCTATGAGTTGAACCACAAGTTGAACTATAGATTAACTGTTAGTTGAACCGTAAGTTTATTTATGAATTGAATCACAAGTTGAACTATAAATTGAACTGTTAGTTGAACCGTAAGTTGATTTATGAATTGAATCACAAGTTGAACTATAAATTGAACTGTTAGGTGAACCGTAGGTTGATCTATGAGTTGAACCACAACTTGATCTATAAGTTGAACTGTAAGTTGATTTATGGATTGAATCACTACTTGAACTAAAAAATGGACCGTAAGTTGCTTTATGAATTGAACCACAACTTGAACTATAAGTTGAACCGTAAGTTGATTTATGAATTGAATCACAAGTTGAACTATAAGTTGAACCGTAAGTTGCTTTATGAATTGAACTACAACTTGAACCGTAAGTTGATCTACGAGTTGAACGACAACTTGAACTATCCAAGACGAACTATACAAGTTGAACTAAAAAATGTCAAGTTCCGAATCGAATTTAGTCAACGATACGTCTACAGCCGAGTTTGTAGAACAGACGCGGGTCAGGTGCGTCGAAACCTAGCAGAACGCGCATCAAAAATGAAAATCGTGTTGCTGGCGAGGATATCGTTTTCGAAATTCCTTCCCTCGGGAGCCGGGCCCGCCTTCGGACAGAGCGTCCGCTTCCCCGCAATCCGTGCAGGAAAAGATTGCGCCGCGAGGGTCGACGAAATACGGTACGGCCTGGTGTCTGTCTATGGGTGCGCGTGTGCGTGCACCGTTGAGAGCGGGACCGAGAGAGGGAGAGAGAGAGAGCACGTGTCAGTGGGGTGCACCGTCGTCCTCGTGTGCGTGTCGTCGATGGGGAGGCGAAGGGAGACGCAAGGGTGAACGCACTCGGTGCACCGCGCGCGACTACCAAAGCGGCCGAGAGCTAGACAGAGATAAATAGACGGAGAAATAGAGAGAGCTAGAGAGAGCGAAAGCGAGAGAGAGAGAGAGAGCGAGAGAGGCGGCCAGGAAGAAGCCACCGATGCGAAGCCGAGAGAAAGGGAGAGGCAGAGAGACGGAGAGAGTAGACCGGGACGAAACGTTGGGATAGGGGAGGGAGGGGCGGTCGGAGGGAGAGCCAGCGATCGTGAAAGTGAGGTGCAGCCATCGATCCGGCCGCGCTCGTGCGCCGAAACGGTAAATGGCCGTTCGGCAACTCTCCACCCTCCTCGGCTTTCGACTTCTCGATCCTCTCCGCGTTCCGACGCGACTCGCCGCGACGGTTTCGCCGAAACTTCGCGTTCCCTGTTCCCCGTCGCTCGGACCTTTGATGCGGTAACGCGCCGCACGGGCCCGAATTCACCCTAAACGCGTTATGCACTAGTTTCATTCCGAAACTCCGCTCGCGATCGGCGACGTTCCGCGAGACATCGGACACCTCGCGGCGCGCGATCGAATTTTCGATCCCTTTTCTCGAATTCTCAAACGTTCAACGATTCTCCGGCACCCTATTTTTTGGTACTATTATAAAATCGAATTCGCGCAGACGATCGGTGCTTCTTTGGAAATACACAAAGATCGCGATCGAAAATTGTTTCGCGATTGTAGCAGAGGAACTCTGTTGAAATCGTGGCAAAAGGGTCGCGGACTCGGAGCAATTCTCACTTCGGTTAGCTTCGGGAATTCCATAGAAGAGAGAGAGAGAGCGAGAGAGAGAGAGAGAGAGAGAGAGAGAGTCCGGGGTTTACGGCCCGTAGAAAGTTCGATAAGTATGGAGCAAGTGGTACGAGCGTTTTTCCCCCGTCGAGCGAGTGGCTCGTGAAACCTGCTAGACGATATCCGGATCAGGTGCTGCCACGCAATTTACGGGACATAAAGGAACGATCGAGAGCGATCCCTCCTTTGATCGAGCGAAACGGGAGACCGCTTCTAACGGACGGAATAAAAGAAACAAGTGGGACGTCTTCTCGCGAATAATACGATCCGCCCGCGCGCCCTAAACCGCTCCCCCCGTTCCGAAATCATTGGTGTTCTCCCCCTTTCTTGAATTTACGAATTATAGTTATATCTTACGCTCGATCGTAGAATTTACGCTGTATTTGAAATATAATCGTGATGCTTTATACAGGATGTCCCAAAATTATGTTGCTTTAGGAAACGATGGGTTCCCGAGGTCATTTGGAGCAACTTTTTCCTTTGCGAAAATGCGATCCGCGGCTTCGTTTACGAGTTATCGACGAAAAACGCTGACCAATCGGCCAGCGCGGCGGGGGTTCGCCCCTGCGGCCAATGCCGCGTCGCGTCGGCCGTATGACTCAGCGACAGTGGTCGCGAGGGCGGGGCGCCAGCCGCGCGCGATCTCTCATTGGTCGGTGATTTTCGCCGATAACTCGTAAACGAAGCCTCGTAGAACATTTTCGCTAAGGAAAAGGTTGCTTCAAATAACCTAAGGAATCCCTCGTTTCCCGGAAGTACCATAATTTTGGGACACCCCGGATATCCCGAGAATTACGCCCCTAATGATTGCACGTTCGCGTGAACGACGAACTTTCCTCGGCTATGCTAAATGTTCTTTAAAGCTCTCGGCCGGCGAACGGCAGAAGCGTAGAAAATCCGCAGTGGTTACCTACGATAATCAACGCGGTCCGTTCTAGCGCGGCCGAACACGCCGGCGTAGAAATTAGGTCGGGTCGGAAATAGTTACCGGAGCGGCCGGCGAATATTTCGCGAATAACGACGACAGCAATTAAACTTCACGGCGAGCGTTAAATTCGATAATGGCCGAGCGGCTAGATAAAAATAATTCGTCTTTAAACCCGGCGGCTCGAGCGAAAACCGGGCTCGGAATCGACGATGCCGGCAACTCGAGTGTTAGTATGCTTATGGCAGCTAATTACTTTTTCGTGTCACGGTTAAAATGTTTCGCATACGACACGCGCTACTTCGGAACAAATTCTTTAATCTTCCAAGTTCAAATACTTTTTAAGTGCAGAGGGTAGCTAATCTTTACTCCGAAAATCCGGAGACGATTCGCGCAGCTTGGGACTCGAAATTTTGGAGCTTTCTCGCTCGAAATCTATCAAAAGTCTGTGGATCCGTGAAACAAAGTCCGTACAATTTTCCCTTCAATTTTGACGGCGCTTTCGGAATCGCTTTCGGCCGGCGCCGGTTGCGCAACGCGGAGCGTGCATTCCGCCGTGCACCGTGGCAAGGAAAAACTAGTGCGCGCGGAAGGTTGACAAGGTCGCAGCCTTGACCGCGTGCACCGGCGCGGCGTGCGCGGATTGCGGCGGATCGCAGCGGAAGCGGCGTCCTTGAACACGTGTATCGCATCATCGCCGTTGCTCCTGAACCGCACGACCATTGTCGTGACCCGAGCTCTAATGTCGTCGATCCCGCCGGGATTTCGCGACGCGGCCGACCGGCCGAGAGCGAGCATGCACGAGCAGGAGCGCGAAAGAGAGAGAGAGAGAGAGAGAGAGAGAGAAAGAGAGAGAGAGATCTAGATAAAGAGCTGGTGTGCGAGCGGGACGAGCAGGTTCGGTTAACGAGGCGTCTTTCTTCGAGTTCGATCCGCGGCGCGTCCTTTCTAAAGCCGCTTCGGCAATTACTATCGCGACGAGCACAACGCGAGCCGAAGCGGAGCGGAGCGGTGCGGAGCGGAGCGGAGCCGTTCCTCGCATTCACGACTAGGCTCGGCTCGACGCGACGCACCCGGCAGTTTGCTCCTGAAAAGGCGACACCCGGGACATCCGACGGGGCTGTTAAAGCTCGCACAAAAGGAAGGGAGAGACCCGATTCACCGGGCGGACGTTTCGCGCGATTTATCTGCCGCGATTAATTCAACCGCCCCTCGGTGTTGCTCTTAATTGGATTACCGCGTTTCTGGAGCGCGGCCTGGCACATTGTCCCCGAAAGTGATCGACGAGCCGACGGCCGACCGGCCCCGGAACGTGATTTTCGTTCAATTTTCCAGCGGATTTCAAACCGGCGCGGCGCACCGTTCGCCTTCTTTTTAACCCTCGTTCGGATTTATCCGCTCGTCGTCGCAATTCATTCGGGGACCCGGCGGAAGAGCGCGTTTCGAACGGTCTCAGCCGTTGTCGAAAGCTTCTGCTTTTCGAATAATTAGGAGGATAATTCGTTTCGCGCCGCGAAAGTTATCCGAACCGCGCGCGAGAGAGCTGCGTTCGAAGACGATAAGCTCTGCCTCCGCGGAATGACTGCGGTCTCGTGAGATCATTTCTCGCTCCGTCCGATCGCCGGCGATGACTCATATCGACGTCTGCGCAGATGTTCGCGCGAATCGCCGCTATGACGGATCACGAGAAATGCGAACCGATCGCGGAGTTTTCCGTGATCTCTGAGTAAGTTATACTATAAATTGAACCGTAAGTTATACTATAAACTGAACTGTAAGTTGAACCGTAAGTTGATCTATGAGTTGAAGCACAAGTTGAACTATAAGTTGAACTGTAAGTTGATCTACGAGTTGAACCACAAGTTGAACTATAATTTAAACCGTGAGTTGATTTATGAGTTGAACGACAACTTGAACTGTAAGTTGAACCGTGAGTTGATCTATGGAGTTGAACCACAAGTTGAACTATAAGTTGATCTATGAGTTGAACAACAAGTCGAACTATAAGTTGAACTGTAAGTTGAATCGTAAGTTGATCTATGAGTTGAACGACAAGTCGAACTATAAGTTGAACTATAAGTTGATCTATGAGCTGAACCACAAGTTGAACTATACTTTAAACCGTGAATTGATTTATGAGTTGAACGACAACTTGAACTCTAAGTTGAATCGTAAGTTGATTTATTAGTTGAACGACAACTTGAACTCTAAGTTGAACCGTAAGTTGATCTACGAGTTGAACGACAAGTCGAACTATAAGTTGAACTATAAGTTGATCTATGAGCTGAACCACAAGTTGAACAATACTTTAAGTCGTGAGTTGATTTATGAGTTGAACGACAACTTGAACTCTAAGTTGAACCGTAAGTTGATCTACGAGTTGAACGACAAGTCGAACTATAAGTTGAACTATAAGTTGATCTATGAGCTGAACCACAAGTTGAACAATACTTTAAGTCGTGAGTTGATTTATGAGTTGAACGACAACTTGAACTCTAAGTTGAACCGTAAGTTGATTTATGAGTTGACAACTTGAACTCTAAGTTGAACCATAAGTTGATTTATGAGTTGAACCACAAGTTGAACTATAAGTTGATCTATGAGTTGAACAACAAGTCGAACTATAAGTTGAACCGTAAGTTAATCTATGAGTTGAAGCATAAGCTGAACTATAAGTTGAACAATAAGTTAAACCGTGAGTTGATTTATGAGTTGAACGACAACTTGAATTGTAAGTTGATCAATGAGTTGAACCACAAGTTGAACTATAAGTTGAACCGTAAGTTGATCTACGAATTGAACCACTACGATGTGATCTCTAAGTAGATTTTTCTAACGTTCGCGAACGCACGTTCGGAATCGATTGTCGAGCCTCGTCGAAGCGGCGACGGAAGGCAGAAAGATAGAGGGAAGCGTTTATTTATCCGTAGAACAAACGAAAGTCTTACATTTTTCGCTTTTTTCGCAGTCGCGTTGCCCGTCGTTCGCGGAAAACTCGCGATGCGTTATCGAACAATCGGAGCTTCGATTCAAATTTCCGATCGCGAGCTTCTCGAACTTTAAGAACACCGATTTAAGAACACCGAAAGCTTCGTTCTTTTCGAGCGGATTCGCAAACTTCCGAATCGAAACAGCGTGTTCGGAACGATCGCGCGATCAACTGCAAGCGCCGGCGATCGATCGGAAATTGCGAGGTCGCCGCTCGGAATCGAGCGTCGAAACAGAATGATATCCGAATGTTCTGCCACGATTCGTTAACTTTCGATCCTCCGCGGCCCCGTTCCGAAGGGAACGCAGCCAGCGGACGGTTAAGTACCGCCGCGACTGCTGAAGGAGGACTTGTTGCATCCGCGCGGAGACACAATGAACGATGACCTTTGCCGCGCGCGATGCGTCGCAGCTCCCTTGATAAATTGGTATCGTAAATTATCGTAATATTAATTAAAGCGTCGCTCGGCGATCCGGGCCAACCTGCGGACTTCGGACCGAGAGATCTTCGGCGGCCCCTCGGTTTTCATTCGCGCGCCGCTCCGAAGGTCGCTCGTGTCACGACCGCATCGTTTTATCGCATTTCATACCCGATTAATGGACCGGCAATAGCCGTCGATTTCGTGGGAAAGCCGCTCCCTCGTCTCGCTCTGTTCAACGTCTTTTTAAAGGAGTTTACACGGCGGCCCATCCACTTTCGGCAGATATTTCGCGCCGATGACGCGAAGAACGAGCGGCTTAAATCGCGTCCATCATCGAAGGTGACGGCCAGCTCGGTTGCTCGGCGGAACAAACGCGGGGCAAAGTTATTAACAATAACGGCGCGATGTTTACTGCACGGTGTCCGCGATAAATTGGACCGCGAACAACCGTATTTCGCAAGTCCGCGCGCCGCGCGCCGCACGCCGCGGACAACGGAGCGACCTCGCATTCCCGATTCCAGCGGTCGCCGGCGAGTTTCCTCGACTGGTCGCTAAATAACACGCTCGGTCATATAGAGTTTCCTCGAACGAGCGTGCGCCGTGCTCGGAAATAGCGATGCCTCGCGCGGCGAACAGCGCCGAGCTGCGACCAGAAAAACTGACTAAGCGCGTAACTGCGAGTCGATGCGAGCCAGCGCGTTTATTATATTAAAAAAACAGGTATCCACAATTTTTAAATAAAACATAAACTACCCGTTTGTTCGGCCAAATTGATCTCGTCGCCTTCGAAATAGGCATTATGGGACACGGAGTAACAAAGATCAATGACGTTTTATCAGAGCTTATTGGAAATATGAAATTTTGTAGTGTAGAATAGTAGACACTGAAATATTCGCACAAGCAAATACGATTTGGAAATGCTATTTCGTTCGATTTTTGAACGAAGAGATGAAACGGCATTTCGAAATACAGTAATGTCTCCCTTACTGACGGTCAGATTGTCCACAAAAATGGACAATTTGGGAAGAGGCGATACGATTGTTCGAGCCTTGGAGTTCGTTTTTCTAGTTGTTGACAATTCGAAGGCAATTCGAATTGTTGGCCTCCGAATTGCTTCCGAATTGCCTTCGAATTGCCTCCGAATTGCCATCGAATTGTATTCGAATTGACTTCAAATTGTCTTCGAGTTGTGTCACGTGGCTTCCAAATTGCCATCGAATTGCCTTCAAATAGTGTCATGTGGCTTCGGAATTGCTTCCGAATTGCCTTCGAATTGCCTCCGAATTGCCTTCGAATCGTGTCACGTGGCCTCCGAATTGTATTCGAATTGCCTTCGAGTTGTGTCACGTGGCTTTCGATTTGCCACCGAATTGCTTCCGAATTGCCATCGAATTGCCTTCAAATAGTGTCATGTGGCCTCCGAATTACTTCCGAATTGCCTTCGAATTGCCTCCGAATTGTCTCAGAATTGACTTCGAATCGTGTCACGTGGCCTCCGAGTTGCCACCGAATTGCCTCCGAATCGTATTCGAATTGCCTTCGAATTGTCTTCGAGTTGAGTCACGTGACCTCCGAATTGCCTCCGAATTGTCTTCGAATTGCTTCCGAATTGCTTCGGAATTGCCTTCGAATTGTCAAGAATTACAAAAACGAGCTGCAAGGCTCGAATAAACGTATCTCCTCTTCCCAAATTGTCCATTTTTCTGCAGGATCCGAGCATCAGTTAGGGAGACATTACTGTTTCAAGATTGTAAAAACGCGTCCTCTGGAAACAATTCGATAAATTCGTCTGAAAATATATTGCTATCAAAAATAGAGGAAATCTAAATAAATTCAACGTTGCAATTTATTACTTTTTACAAGGCAACACGGACGAGTCGCTGTTAACGGCACGATCATCGTTAAAAATGAGAACGTCCATCCGACGCAGAAAGTTCGCAACGGCGAGCAAGTGCGAGCACGAGCGAGCAGGAGCGGGCAGGAGCGAGTAAAAGCCGAGCGAGGGGGACGCCCGTCCCACGAGGAAATTACAAGACTGGCAGTGACAAGCGCCTTTCTCGTTTTCGTTTCCACGAACGCGATTTCACGTGGCGGCGTGGCTGGCTCGTGCGTGTCGCGTGATTTTATCCGGCGAGCCTCGTTACCCCGTCTCCTCTCCTCTCTCTTCTTGTCCCTCTCCTTTTAGCTTCTTTTCCGTTCTCGACGCATCGCGTTGCCTTCTATCGTCCCCGCGAATCTTCGCGTGCCCGCGAAAAAATAACCAGCCACGGAGAAACAGCACCGAGTTACGGGACGCACCGGCTCGGATACGGGTTTGGTTTCGCGGCCCAGCGACGACGAGCGAGCCGCTGCACCGTGTCAAAGGTTTCGCGATCTCCGGGCTTCGCTTTCGCGGCCTCTGTCATCCGGCCGATCGTCTATTTTGCCCAGCTGACGGTTCCTTCGCTCGAAGTAGGGCTTCGCTCTTCGCGCGATCTTTCTTCGCGGGGCGTCGCGAGCCTTCTTTCGATTTTCTGCTGCACTCGATGCACTTCGCTTCGCGGTTTAACGCTTCGCCTACCGGCTATTCTTTGATCGGAGAGCTATAGATCGCAGAACCACGATTGCAAATCTATTAAAAATATTTTATTTTATTTATATATGGCTGAAGATCCGATAACGGGACGAAAGCGAGAAGGGAGCATTTTCGCGAGCGGAAGTTCCTTAATTTTCCGTCTCGCCGCAGGTCGCGGGACGCGTTTGACACTCTGTCCTGCAGCAACCCTCGGGCGCCTGGTGAACTTTCAGCAAACATTACGATCAGACGTGGCGAGATCGTCACGGAGCCCCGAATAAACTGTTGATTCGTGCCACCCGCAGCTCCGGCTCCTGCGAATTGCTCGAGATTTCTTGCCCTCGCGTCGTGTCGCATCGCGTCGCCTAACCTCCCGGCCCGTTTATCTTACTTATCCGTCCGCTCCTTGTAATTTCTCTGCCGCGCCCGGACGCCCCTGGCATCGGCGTAGAGTCGATCGTTTTCGCGTAAAAAGCCTCGTCATTTTATTCCGACATCCCGCTTGGCGCGTGCACGGCTCCCCCCTTCGTGCATTTTTACGACTTTTCATCCTAATTTTCGCAAGCTCGAATACTTGCTTTGCACGGAAATTATATTTTTTTAATTGCGCAGACAATTTATAGCAAATAGAAAGTTCTTTGTACTTTAACGTTTGCACAGGGTGCCCCGAAATTATGTTACTCTCCCGAACTTATGTTAATTACTACTTAATGAGAGGTTCCCGAGGGACACCCGGTATACTCTAATATACCATAGACGATGTTTTCCTTTCGACGTATGTATATTACTTAAAATATACGACGCGGGAGTCAGATTTACACCGTCGTTCGAACGCTTTCGTCGCCGTTTGCGCAAGTGCGAAGTTCATTATTATTATACATATAGAATTCGCCCGCTTCCGACACACGCAGCTAAAAGCCCGCGGGTCTCTGACCAGCTCGGTGATATTCTGTGCCGGTGCCAACTTTTCGCTTCTATCTTCGACTTCCTGCGCGGCGGCCTGATCATAACACCTCGTAAATAAACTATAACGCCGAGCGGTAACACGCGACTCCGTCGTCGCGGTCGGAACAATGCGTCTTCGACGAGAATTCGGCCCTAAAATTTCTAGATTTCTGTTCGTTCGCGTTCGAAGGCAATTCGCAAGCAATTCGGAGGCCACATGACACGATTCGAAGACAATTCGATGACAATTCGGAGGCAATTCGACGGTCACGTGACCCAACTCGAAGGCAATTCGAATACAATTCAGAGGCAATTCGGAGACCACGTGACACAATTCGAAGGCAATTATAAAAACGAGCTGCAAGGCTCAAATAATCGTATCTCCTCTTCTCAAATTGTCCATTTTTGTGGAAAAATCTGAACGTCAGTAAGGGAGACATTACAGTAGTTGCAAATCCAAATGAACCGCCATCGTAGGCGTCTAGACGTCCACTAGACGTCTATCGTCTTTTAGACTATACATTCTCTATCGTAGGACACTTTTGACATAATCGCCTAAACCCTGTTCCCCGGTTCGACCACCCTGGTCACCCATCTTGCGCACCCAACGAGAAAATACCGCGTTGCATTAACAAGACTGGTTATCGAGCACCCTTTCCGAAGGCGACGCAGCTCGTTGCAAGGTACACTAATATCTCCCTGACGCTCAGGTTGTGTACAGAAATGGACAATTTGGGAAGAGGAGATACGATTGTTCGAGCCTTGCGGCTCGTTTTTATAATTGTTGACAATTCGAAGGCAATTTGGAAGCAATTCGGAAACAATTCGAAGACAATTCGGAGCCAATTCGGAGGTCACGTGACACAACTCGAAGGCAATTCGAAGGCAATTCGAATATGAATTCGAATACAATTCGG